CACGGAATGCTTCTGCCCACCTTCAAAACAGGGCAAGCGTCCGGTCTATTAATTGGCACACTCCCAACCCTCGGCATTGAGAGCTCAAGTGACACAACACCATTCTACCCCCGCTTGCTACCTAAGCAAGCTGCGGCCATGCACAAGGATGGCCAGGGGCTACGAGAAGGTGCCAGTCCAATCCTGGGGTCTCAGCTGACTCGCACGGTGTGCCCACCACAGCGGGCTCAGAAGCAGAACAATGTGCACGGTGCTTTAGGGGTGCGGTGCATGTTATCCCACCTGCTAAGTGGGACTAAAATAGCTACCCTTGCTAGGACGCAAAACCCTGCGCCTAGCAACTGTAGCGATGGGCAGGAGAGGCAGCGAGCGGTCCAGGCAACCAGGCAGCCGGGCGTCTGAGCGCAGGAACGGACTGGCGCACCTAGCGGAATTTTCACGTCCGCTCTGAGCTCTTCTGGCACACGGCCGGCAGCGCTCCTGCCTGTGGCGCCAAACAAGGCACCACACACACACACACACACACAAAAACGGCTGGCTACTGATGTGCGAATCAGGGGTGCCAAGTCTATACCTGCCTGGGGGGCGGGTTCCGTTTTGGAGATGCTTTTTTTCGGGGGGGGGGAATGTCACCTCCCAGTGGTGGGAAGGACAAAAATACACGAAGAGCATCATGCGGGGCAGAGCATGACTCGCCAGTAGCGAAGTCTCGGGAGAGGCATTTCAACCTTTTAGAAGGGGGAGGCCGCAAGAGAGCCGGCGTGGCATCACAGAGTCTGGGAGTGGGGGATCCTGAGCTCGGGGCCCCACGTGGCCCCATGGGGCTTTCTCTGACTCTCAGCCTGACCGAACTAAAGCAGACATGACCACAAATCAGTGGCTGGGCGTGTGCCTTCCTGCAGGTCCTTCTGAGGGTCACATCAGGTCCCGAGGCTGGGGTACTGCACCCCTAGAACGAATGCAGAGGCACCCCCATTTTCAACGCATGAGAGCCCGCCACAGCTTCTCTGCGCCGTGAAAAAGCACCATTCAGAGGCTGCCCACGTGCAGTGTGGGAAGAAAAGCGTTTTGCTCCGGGGTGGCCTGTATAAAACGTTTGCAGAGGGAGCGAAGCTCACCTGTTGGACCCACACGCACTAGCCTTGAGGAAATGGGGCACCAGCCAGCCGGGGCAATGTGAAACCCAGTGGGTTGCAATGGAAAAGCTGCAAATCTTGCGAAAAGCCTGCGAACCAGGGAGCTGTCTGGCCTCCCTTCCCAAGAATCACGCCGTGGGGTGCTGGACTGTGCCTGTCCGTCTAGCATGTCCTGAGGGACGTGGGCAGCAGCCATGTGCTGTGACCATTCCGGGGGGGGGGGGAGTTTTGCATGCTTTGCCCACCTACATGGTCTTAAAGAGGTTTCCCGTCCCCGCAAAATGAAGGGGCCTGTACCTGCTTAGCTTCGGTGATGCCACAGCCCAGAGGGCCCCAAAACCACTCACGGGGTCCTGAACACTGCGTTCTAAAATCGACTTGCACAACCACGTGCCCTCCAGCTGCATCGGACGACAGGCGCCATCACCCCAGCCCGCATGGCTGTGGGCCAGCGCATCTTGAGCCTGCCTGGCTGGTGGTGGTGGATGCTCTGAAAACCCACACGGCTGCTGTGGCAGAAGCTCCTGCAGGAGCGCGGGGCAACACAGCGTGGGGTGTTTCCCAGGGGGAGAAACCTCCTCCGAGGGAGCTGCCGGAGACCCGGGAACAGGCGACAGGCCTCGCAGCTGGAGATGCTCTGCCCCGTTGCGAGCTGGCAGGTGACCCAGGGCCGTCTGGCTCGATGGCCTCATTCCTTCCTCACGAACCGCTCTCCGCAGCACCGGGTGCTCGCTGCTGCCAGAGGCAGGAGAACGGTCAAGGAGAGGCGGCAGGCCAGCCGGGCCGGAAAGGGCGGCGGCGCTTCTTGTGAAGCACTCGCACCGGCAGCCAGGTCCAGAGCTCTCCACCCACTGGCCTGTTCTCTGATCCCGTTAAGTTGACGGCAGGTTCTTCCTTCCCGAGTGGCGAAGGGCAATTATAACAAAACTCATTCCGGGCAGCCTGCTCCATGGTTACTCTCCGCTCCTGGCATCTCCCCGCCCCCCACAAATTCTGTGCTGTCTCACACTTAGCCAACTGTCCAGGGTGCCTCGAGGCACGCCAGAGGGACCAGTCCGGCAAGGGCACTTAGCCACCCTGTCAACCCCAAACTGACAGCGGCGGCGTTCTAACTCCAACTCCAACCTCCCTAACAAACCGCCAGCACATATTCCATCCGGGGGGATGTTCCTCCAGAGGAGAGAGAGTTATTCCAGCCACTGAAATGAATGCCATGCCTTCGGAATGCCCCAGCCCTCCCGGAAGGGATGCTGCAAAGCGGACGGGAGTCCTGGGATACGCCGTGTGATCCGCAGTCCAGCTCCCTACAGGGATTACTCATTTAGGGCTGCCCTTTCTGATTAGCAGCAGGCTCCTGGATTTGCTCACGTCCCTATTTAATGCAGCCGCTTACCAAGAAAACAAAACAAAAAAAGGAAGAAATGTTCCAAGCAGCCCAGTTTCCCATTTTTCAGAAGACGGCCCTGCTTTCGGCCCCGCCACTCCTCGATTTTGCACCCCCATGCAGGAAACACGCATGCACCTCTGCAGTCGCAAGCTCGTGCAGGGAACAGCACTTCCACCAAAACAGAACGACTTTATGGATTATGCAACACTCATGAAAGATAGAAAATGCCTCAGAACCGGAGCAAAACATCAAGGCCAGGCTGGCTCATTCTTTCACCGAATCTTTCTTCCGCGCACGCTGATGAAATATTTGGTCGAACGACATCAACTCAATTTGCCGAGTGCCAGCACCAGAATTCATGCAGGAAAGGCGTTTTCCTGCACCCCATTTGCTGGAAGGACTATGGAGGAGCCACTGGATGGAAATCTGAGGCTATTCAACATCCCAAAGGAAATGTTTGGAGCTAAATGGTCTAGCCCTAGAGAATGCCGTTTTGTACGTTCGTTCATTTAAGGCAGTTTTGGCAGTAATGGGCTTCAAAAGGGTTCTAAAAACCCTTATGTCACTTGGTACTCGGGGAAACTTTTACTAGGCCACACATCCTGCCAACTGCTTTACCAGGGCCCTTGAGCGTGTTTTTCTCCCCACGGGCCAGTCTAGATCGAGTGGGCAAGGCAGAAGATGGCCAAGGAAGGTCCCTTAGCTCTTCTGTGCGCTTTCAGCTTGCCCTCTTCAGACACCCTCGTAGTCTGCCCCATTGCAGGCATGGCCCCACTGCTCACGCATGAACAGTGGGGGTTCCAGGGGGAAAGGGACGTCACTGCAGGGGTGGGGTGAAGATGAAGAGAGTGGCCTCGAAGGCAACAGCACCTCAGAACTTCTAGGCCCAGCCTGCTCTTGTCTCTTGCCTTCCCAAGCACCTGGATGCTCCCCCCAGTGAAACCTGCCTTGCGCGAGGGGTAGAGAAATGCCTGCCTCGCCCATAACACTCGAACCCAAAGGGGGCATTCCATGAAACAGACAGGGGGAGGCTCAGAACAGATGAAGGAAGGAATCTGGAGGGCCACCAATTTGGGGGGCTGGCCAAACATGTGAAGGAAAAGGCTATCAATCCATGCCAGCCCTGGCGGCCACGTGCTGCCTCCGTTATTGGGGCAGCATGCCTGCATGCACCCCTCGCTGGGGAGCCGGGGCAGGCAGAACGCTTGCTGCACCCGTCCTGCCGGAGGGCTCTTTGGAGCAGCTGGTTGGCCACCGTGTGAATGGAGTGCTGGACTGGATGGCCCACTGGCTTGATCCAGCATGGCTTCGCTTACGTTCCCAAGAGAATCACGGACGGACCCTGGACAATCCTTCTCAAGGTGGCTAAATATTGATGAAATAAATTCATTTTTAACAGCTATAAATAGTAAGACTCTCTTCTAAAAAATATCTTGGGTAGTACTGACCTAAATAACACATGTAACTAGCAAAACTACCCATTGAGCCGTATCTCCTGTAACATGTCCTAAAGTTAATAAAAAGGCCAGCTATACAGAGAACCCCCTCCTATATAATGCTGTTGTATAACTAGTGCAATAACAGGTAACAGATCCGCATTATCCGATTCATACCACTGCGCAGAACATGCATGCAGAGCAATGGGAACCTTCTTATTTAAACTGGGCTTCCGTCTTTGCCTGCTGACACTGCACAGCGGCGTGAGTGGGGCGGAACGGACACCCCGGAAGCACGTGCGGGGTGCGGATCCCTTTCCGCGGGCGACCTCGGAGGCGGGGCATTCCCCTACTGCAAGCTGCATGGCTTCGTTCGTGGAGAGCCCCTCAGAGCCGACTCGAGGGGTCGACATGCACGATGCCCAGTGGGAGCCCCAGAAACCGTCCCACGAGGTTGGCCTCATTTCGCATGGTTTGCACTGAGCGTGTCGTGCAAGTCGACCATTTTCTGAGCGTGTTCCTGCCAACACTGGGAAAGGATGCCCATGCCGGGCCAAATCGTCAAATAAACCGGTTTGAGAAAAGGACTGGCCAACGGTGGCGTTCAGAGCCATTTAGGTTTCGATCTACGACCGGGTGGGGGGGAGGGGGGTGAAGACCTGAATGCACCAAGACCTGACCCTCAGGTAATGGGAAGCCTCCAAGCAATGTGACATCGCAAAGTTATTCTGCCAGCAAATGAACGGTTTTTAACATTAGTGAGTAGGAGTAGGAAATACGTAAGCGAGGAGAAGCACATAAACATAAGGTACGGAGCTCGGTTTACAAATTCAGATCGTCCCCGTCTGGCCGTTAGCACAGTGAACAAGGCAAGCAGAATCGTCAACAGGCTCTTAGGAGACAGCCAAGACACAGTCATGCCGGGCACAGTTGTGTGTTGGACGCAGGATTAACAGTTAGGCGCTCATGCCAATGCGCTGACAAGGAGCCAATTCTCACACACAAGCCGTAGGAGGATAGGCCACGGTTGCAAACACACACCTTTCTCTTGCCTTTGCAGGCCCGGGCCATCGGGCTTGGCGGGCCTTCTCCTGCCTTGCTCTTGAGCAGCAGCCTTCAGCAGAGGAGGAGGAGGAGGAAGGCCTCTTGACTTGGTGGGTCTCATGTAGCCTTTCATTGGCTGAGGGGCCTTGGCTCTCCCCTCTTTCCTGGTCTCTCTGGCCACCTGGTCTCCGCGGTCAGCTTGCTGAACCGACGCGGCACTTTCAGCGGCACTTTCCGCGGCTCTGGAGCCCGGGCGCTGGGTGTCCACCAGGTCAGCCGCCTCCCTCAGCAGCCCTACTTCCTCTGTGCTGGCCGCCTGCACTGCAGGGCTGGCCTTCGGCTCGCTCACATCCTCCAGCTGCGGACATTCGGAGAGGGCTTCAGGTTTACTCGCAGAACCCGCTTCCTCCGCAGGGACTTCCTCCAGGGCCTCATCTGCCCCAGCCTTGCCTCCTAAGCTGCCCAGGCATTCTGCGGCTTTCTGCTCGGCTCCTGGGTGGCTTTTCGCTGCGGCCGCTTGCTCCGCGGGGCCGCCAACGAGGGCGGCTGCCAGATCCCGGAGCACTGTGGCCTCCTCCTCGTTGCTCCAACCGGATGACAACGGCGCTGCAGGGACGCCGCTTTCCCTTCCAGCGGCCATCTTTGATTCCTCTTCCCCTGGCACGTCCAACGAACCAGGCCCAGATGCTCGCACTGGGCTTGGGAGAGCGGCTCCGCTACCTTCTGCCGGCACAGACGGGAGCCCCTGATCCCCTCCTGCTCCGTCCTGCCTGGCAAGGCCCTCTGCTGGGGGCCGCTTACCCTTCTTCCTCTTCTCTCTCGTTTCATCGCCTGCTTTCACCAAGAGAGAAGTCTCTATCGTGGCCTCTCTCCCTTCTAGCTTTCCCAAATCCGCCTGCAGCTCTCGCCACTCCTTCTGCTCGCCTTCACTGGCACCTCTCAGAACATCTGTGGGCAAACCCTGCTCCTTGCTCAGCTCACCAACAAACTTGCCGGGTCGTTCTAAAAAGGGGCACCCGAGCCCCCAGCTTTTCGAAGCGGCTTCTTCACAGACACCGGAACCAGGTGGCGCAAAGGAGCCAAACAAGCTCATGGGGTTCTCCTCCCAGCGCATCTGATGCTCAGCGGGGAGGCCTTTAACGTTCCTGTTCTCATCCACCAACTCCAGCTCTTCCACAGCCTGCCCGAACCCAGCTAACTCGGGGTGCTGCTCTGCGCCCGCTTCTTTTGCCGTCTTTCTGCTTTTCCTGTCGCTACCCCTCTTGGCAGGCGTGGCCAACGGATCCTGCCCAGCCGCAGGGTCTGAGCCACTGCCCCCGTCCTCCCTGCGGCTCGGAGGGGGAGCGCGCTCTTTGAGCGGAGCCTCCCTTTCCGCACCCGGGACCACGTCTGCCTCTGCCTTGGTCCCCAGGAGGAAAGGGCATTCCAAACTGGACCCGTCCTTTCCCTTCTTTCCCTTCTCTGTTCCTCTAGCCGCTTCGTCAAGGGGCACAACGGGGGCCCGGACTGCCGCTTCTGCATCCCCCAGGGGATGGCCAACACCCTCCTCCTCGCCTCCCCTGCGGGATGACGGAGGCTCCTCTGCTCTAGCCGCCTCATTCTGTACAGGAGCAGGCCCGGTGGGTTCGGACTTCGCATCGAAGCAGTCGAGAGTCTGGGGGCTCTGTCCTTCAGGACCCCGTTTCTTGCCTTCTTCTGGCACCGGCTCAGGGAGAGGGGTGGGCGATTTCAGGAGATCTGTGGCACCTTGACCGGCTTCCTGACTTTGGTAAGGCAGAGGGGCCTCCCGGGGCTGGGTCAGCAGCAACGCCTGGGAAGCCTGACTGTCGAGGCCAGAGGAGGGAGGCTGCTCCAAGCCGCGACCTGGTGTAGCTGTGCCGAGGCCATCCCCTTCCTTCTCTTCCGTCCTCCCCACCAGCTTTGCAGCAGGAAGTGGGGCGCGAGAGTCATCGGGCTGCTCCAGCAGCGGGGCGCCGGCAGCACCGGCTTCCTTCGGTGCATCGGCCTTCTTGGAAGGCTTGCTCAAGTCGGGCACGGAGTCCAGCGAGGGCGGCTGCTCGGCCGGGCCCCTCCCAGACCTTTTGCTTCTCCCGTCACTCGTCCTCTTCTTGGGTTTGCTGGCTGGCAACACGGAGGGGGACTCCACAGTGGGGGGGCCCTCCGAACCCGCTGGGCCGGATCCTTTCCCTCTGTCGGTTCCCTCTGCTTGGGCAGCTGCCTCCAGAGCGGCAGGACACGCCATCTGCCTGCCTGGCATTTCCAAGAGGAAGGGGTATGCCGAGGGAGGGAAGTCCACCCACTCGCTCTTCCTGCTCGGCGCTGCCTTGGCCTTCCCCTGCGCGGATGGCGCGGCCGGAGCGTGGGCCTCCGCCGCAGCAGCCGCCGCTTCCGGCAGCCCGCCCGCAGGTGAGGCGCTGGCCCCTTCTCGGCCGTCCTCCGTTATCGCTCCAGCTTGGCCCAGCCCACCTGCTTCAGCGGCGAGGTGGACGCTGCTGCTCTCCACCTCCGGGAAGTACGGCGGCCCGAACGAGATCCTCTCTGCCGCCTTTCTGCTCTTCCCACTGCCGGTTCTCTTCTTGGGTTTTTCTCCCAGCCCCGCAGAGCTGAGCGCCGCTTTACCTTCCTCTGTGCCGGAGACGCCCAGCTCAGGGCTTCGGGCCACCGGACTGGTGTCGGCAGGTGCCCTGGCCACCTCCAAACCAGGAGCCTTGCCCACACTGTCCTTGTCCTCCAAAAGGAGCCGCTGCTGCTGCTCCGGGTGATTTCTAGCCCTCTTGCTTTTCCCATCACTGCCCCTCTTTTTAGGCTGGTCGTTCCCCGGCCTGGGAATGGGCCCAGCTGGCTGTTCGGAAGGACTGGGGCAAGCTCCCTTGTCTGCACCAGCGAAGGCCTCTTTAGCACCGCCACCCGTGCTGGCAGGGGCAAGGGGCTGTACGGAATCTGGCTTGGTTTCCGGAACAAAGGGGACTTCGGACGAAGCAGCGGCCGACTTTCCATCCTTCGCATCACCTGGTGACAGCTCTCGCAGGGGACTTGCTTCTGGCGGCAGCTCAGAGGCAGTGCAGACCCTGTCCTTCCTCTTCGTGGGCCGCTCTCTCTCTCTGGCCGCCTCCGCAGCCTTCGCTTCCCCTGGAGGTTTGGCAGCTCCCTCCTGGGCCCTCTCGCATTTGCCCCCCTTCTTGGGCTCCTCTGCCTTCTCTGCCAGGGTTTCCCCGGCAGGAGCAGGGCCCTCCGGGGCCGTCGCCGCACCCACGGCTGCAGGCGCCCCCTCTCCCACTGCCAGTTTGGGCTCCAAAGTGGACGCATCAGGGCCCAAAGTCCAGGGGGACTGGCTCTGAGACGGCCTGCCTGCAGCAAAGGGACCCGGTTCCACAGGACTGGCCTGCGCGGGCGGCGAGACGGGGCTGCCGCCTGGCTTGCTCTGCCTGGCATGGTGCTTCAGCTGCCCTTCAGGAGGCTCCTCCCTCCGGCACGGAGCCAGCACCGTCGAGCCAGCACCAGTCACAGCTTCTGTTCCGCCAGCTTCCCCTGCCTTCGCATCGAAGGTGGGCTTGGGAGGGTCTGCGGTCGGCTGGGCTGGCACTCCGGCGGGAACTGGCGGAGAGCTCAAGGGATCCGAGAACCGCAAATCCCCTTCATGCTTGCAAGTGTTCCTCTCCAGGACTTCTCTGGAGGTGCTCGAGATCTCTTTGGCGCTCTCGGGGGATTTGGAAAAGGGGACCTCGGGCTTCGGGGCTCTCGGCCGTTCGCAGCTGTCCTCCCAAGGCTCCACAGCCCTCGGCTGCTGGCTCCGCTTCTGCTTCTGCTTCCTCTTCTTCTTCTTCAACGCCGCCGAAGCCTCGAGCTCCCACCCCTCTCGCAGAACATCCCTGGGAGCCTCTGCACACTCCAGCGGCTGGCCGGCTGCCTTCCGGTGAGAGGCTCTGCTCCGCGGGGACGTCCCGGAAGCACAGCCGCCTTCTGCAGCGGCAGAAGCCTCCCCTCCTTGGGCACGGCTCTCCTGGGCCGGGGAACCAACCAGGAGCTCCTCCGGGGTGTCTGCCACTGTCCCGTGGGAAGGTTTTGCTCTGCCAAACCTGTGGTGGTCACTGGATTTATTAGCTTGTCTTACTTGGGCAGGAGGCACACCTGGAATACAGGAAGTCTGCTCAAGCACTGGAGCATTATTCACCAAGAGCAACTTTTGGGATTCTCCAAATGGCTCATTATCTACACTGGTACCAACTCTCATCTTAATGATGCAGATCTGGGGGTGAGATAAGCACTCACTCACCGTGGTGGATTTTATGCATCATTTCTTCCACTTCCGTCACACATCAGAGACAAATTCTTGGTTTTACGTCCAGCATTATTTGAGCAACACTCTTAAGCCCAGAAAGTCATTAAACCTTCCGAAATGAATTTCGGGGCCCGCTGTGCTACTTCTCTTAGAACCGAAAAGGCTGGGTAGAGAGACAAGAGTTCTAGAAATACAGAACTTCCCCCGGCAGGAAATGGGTATGCGGCAAGTCATGGCAGAGCAGGGACCCAACTAGATGGAAAAGGCAGGGAGGTGGACACACAATTAACAGAAGGCCAGGGAGCAAAGGAGTTGGATGTAGATGGATGGACTCTGTTTCTCATTCATGGGAGAAACCACAACGCCATCTTTGCACAGCTGGGTCCCGACTCACCCCGCAGTTCGGCAGTGGGAGTCCTGCAAATTTCAGGGGAAGAGCTGTAAAATTAAGAGGTCCAAGAGAAAAGCGCTGGCCTACCTGCCAATATCAGGAATTAAGACCCTGGTTCCCAGAACCACGGTGCAAAACCTGACGTACCAGACACAGCAAGAAGGGGGCGGGCCTTGGCAAACCTGCCCACGTTTAACCTGGCTACCAGTGTGACGTCAGATGCTCAGGACTTGGGACTGAGGAGGAGGAGGAAGAAGCTGGAGGCAGCCTCTCATGGCCCACCCGGTCCCGGAGGGGGGGGGTGCCCCTCTGGAAGCAAGGGGAGACGCGGTTTGGAGGAGGCAGGAGCAGCAGGACGGAGTGCAAGAGAAGGGGGGGTGGCGCCCGGCTCCTCCCCACCACTGCCTACCTGCAGGTTCCTGGGGGGGCTGTTCCTGGGACGGCGCCAGGGGCTGCACGGGGGGAGGCTCGGGCACTTCCTTTGGTGGGGACGTGTCCACGGGAGTGAGGTGGGGTTCTTCTGCCGGAGGCTCTTTCAGGCCGGCGCTGGGCTCTCCTGGGGACACGGATCCCCTTGGTTCTGCCAGGAACAAAAGCGTACAGAGATGGCAGTCGCGAGGAGGGGACGCTCCTCGGCCAGTCTCTCAAGCTCACACGACACGAGAGCCCTCGAGGACAGCAACAGCCTAAAGTGCCAGTGCAGCGCAGTGGTCGAGAGCGTGGGACTGGGACTCAGGCGATCCGGGTTTGAGTCCCCGCTCGGCCATGGAGCCCACTGGGTGCCTTTGGGCCAGTCACAGACTCTCGGCCCAGCCTACCTCACAGGGTTGTTGTTGTGGGGATAAGATGGAGGGGGAGAATGATGTCAGCTACCTTGAGCCCTTTGTAGGAAAAAGGCAGGATATAACTCGAAAAGTGAATGAATGCATGAATGAATGAAAATCCATGAGCTGGACACAGAATGGAGCCAGGGAGAAAAGGCACCAGCAGGGCCAAATTCTAAAACTGCACCAACGCTGCTCTTAAAAGGGTCTTCCCCGGGCATGTGGGCTCGGGGGGAGGCCATGTGGGCGTGTTAGCCACGCTGGCTGGGAACGATGGGAGCTGCAGTCCGGAACATCTAGGCGACAGCCGCTTGGGAAAGGCGGGCCCGGGTGCCGTCCGGAACTGCCGTCATGGCAGCGATGGGCCTGCTCACCTGCCGGATCAGGGCATCCGGCTCTCAGACGATGCCGGCAGAACGATGCGGGCCGCTGGCACCGCCGCCGCGGCACACAAGGCACTTGCCCAAGCGTCCCGCCGGGTGACACTCCTAAGGAAGGAACAGAAGCCCATTGCCTTACCTGCAAGTTCGGGGAGATGCACCACAGGCGGAGTCAGCGGCAGCTGCTCGGCCTCCTCTGGCTTCCCAGTAGGTGCACCGGGAGGCGGCGTGTCCTTCTCAGCGAGCTTCTTTGGCCCGGGAAGGGGCTCCACAGGCTGGCTGGGGAAGGAGAAGGACGCAGCCTCCTCCCACGATCCTCCGGGCTGGCCGCCTTCCACTTCCTTGGTGTGCTGGGTGGGCAGTGGCGCAGATTCTCGGCCTGTCGGGGAAGGGGCGGGTGCGTCGGCCCCCTCCTGCACGTGCTGGGCGGCGGCGGCGGCGCTCTCGGCGACCTTCTCCGCATGCGGGGCAGGAGGCACGGCCTGTTCCTCTGCTCTGGGGCCGGGCAGCAGGCTCTCCTGCTTCTCCGTGCAGGGGGCAAGGGGGGGGCCTGCTCTCGGCGGCTTTCTGCAGGGCAGGCTCGGCGGCCACCTCCTCCTCCTCCTGATGACTGAGAAAAGCCTTCTTGCCTCCCACCTCTGGACTGGGAAGGGGCTTGCTGGGCTGGGGCTGCTCCTGTGGGCAGGGCTGGCTGGTGCCCTCCTCCTCCTCGTGGCGGCCGGGTGCAGGCTTGCCCCCCTCCTGCTTCTCCGGCGCAGGAGGGCTGCCCGTGGCAGGGCCCGCGGAGTCCGTGGCCTTTGCTTTCTGCTCCTGTGCCACAGCGGCTCCTGGGGAATCTGTTGCGAGAAAAAGGAGCACACCGCCTTTTCCCATCTGCAGGGCGCGCAGACACCCTCGCGCCGCCCCGCCCCCGCCAGTTCAGGAAGCTGATCCGGGATCCACGGGGCAGGACCCACACGTCCGGCCTGGGCTGAGCCACCGTGCGGCCACAAGCGGGCCGTGGGCACACGCCTGCTGCTGGGCAGGAAGAACAGGCGGGCGCCCCTTTCGCATTCTGCCCGCGAGCGTTTCGCAGGCAGCACGGAAATGACCGGCTGAACCGGATGGTGCGTGCCTGGAGTTAAAGGCTGGCAGAGGCAAGCCCAGCCCCCCTTTGGCCCTGAAACGGGTGCCTGGTCTGGAGACCCCCAGCTCTCGGGAGAGGGCCTCTGCTGCTCTCCCCGAAGCGGAGGAAAGCTGCCTGGAGCCGACCTTTGGTCCTGGAGAGATTTCCCCAAGCTGGCACCCCCCCCTCCCCAGATGCGTGCAGGAGAAGTGCGGCTGTCCTGGCGGGGAGCCACAGCCGGTGTCCGAGGGGCACCAGGCCGCCTCGAAGAGATGGCGGAGCCACCGGTGGGCAGCTCCGCTCCTGCCTGGATCTCCAGCACCTCCGAAGGCACACCTTGCTGGGGGTCCTGGAGCGCAAGGTGCGAGACGGGGCGCAGAAGTGGGAACGACAAGCACGCCCCGGTTCTTGACGCCACCGCCACTTCTGGCAGGACGGTTCTTGGGTCCCCTTGGTGCCTGCAGGATCTCCAGGAGCATCTCCTGGTGGAACCAGGAGTCCCTGAGGCCGGGCAGACCTGGGCTGAGGTCCCCCCTCCTCTACGAAGCCCACTGGGTGACTGCGCAGCTCCTGGCGCTCAGCCTGGTCGAACTTACAGGGCTGCTCTGAACACGGGCGCAAAGGAGGAGCATGTACCCCACCGTGGAGGGAAATGCGGGGCTGAAATGTGGCAGCTAAGCACGTCCAGGGAAGTCTCATGCGCAGGCTTACCTGCGAAAGGGTCTTTGGGAGGAAGGAATGTGTGGTCAAAGGAGGGTTCGAGGCCCAGAAACTCATTCATCGCAGGAACGGGGCCGGTGCCGCCTGCTCGAGGAGAAGCTACAGAAACCAAAACAGACAGAAGAATGTCTCACTCCTCCCACCATCCACTTTTGGGGCCTGCAAACAGGATGAAGCGGGTGGGCATGGGAGAAAAGGGAAGCGATGCCGCCTGCCCGGGAGGTGGAGCTCATCCAGAGCCACCACTGGGGCCGGCCCGACAATCCGCAGCGCCCAAGCGCGGCCCAGGTGCCGATCCACCCGAGCGCTCAGAGCCAGGGGGCCGGAAGCGGGGCGGACACCCCCGATTCCCCCCAACTGAGATGCTCCCCAGCCAAGTAGATGAGGGCGGGTCCAACATCTGCAGGCTCCTCCTGGTGAACGGTGTCCACAGACGCTGCCGACCTCGTTGCGTGAGGCAGAGCCCAAAGCCAAAGCAAGCTTTTCAAAAGTTCTCTTTCACCTGCTGGTACCGCTTGCTTTTCCTCGACGTCCCTCAGGCCTGTGACAGGACTTTCTGGCAAGGGGACCTCTGCTGCTTCAGGGATCTTGCTGGGCACTAAGAGAGAGGCAAGCCTTTTACGCACGAGATGGGGGTGGGGGGGCACAGGCCAGAAGCTCTACGTGATGGGAACCCTAAAGTGAAACCTCCACTTCAAAATGATCTGATAGAGAAGACCTGAACACGGGACAATCAAAGACCATTGAAAGATCTCCTCAGGTGTGCCGACAGGTGGAGGTGCTGCCGTTCTCTCAGGCAAAGCTCTCCTCCTGTCCTATCCTTTCAAGAGAAGAGAAGAGGAACTCAACTGTCTCTGCTGGGATGGGTGGATCGGAGCAAGGTGGGGCGGGGAAATGGATGGCCTCTGGTGGCTCGGTGTGGGGTCATCGCCTTGCACCCCATTTTAAGTGGGATGCAGGAAGACAGGGACAGAGAGCAGGATCCAGAAGGGGGCCGGAACACCTTATCACCTTAGGTAAAATGCAGAGGATTCGGGGAAGCACCGGCTGATGCCCCACTGCTCTTCCCGCCCGCTTCGCTCCCCTTCTCTTGGCCTCCCCACTTGTACCACATTCTCTAAGTAAGCCTCTGGGACCAGCAGCAAGGCTGCGATGACTGGCAGGAACTCCTTTCCAAAATAGTAAGGGCTTCCCGGACGCTTCCTGCTGCAGCAGCCTCTCTGAAAACCAAGCGTTGTCTGGAAACTAAAGCGGGAGCCAGAGGGACAACTGCCCTCAGCTGGGAGAAGACGGCCGCTGCTGCGACCACGAATCTGGAAGGGGCATCGGACAGGCTGTGGGACTTGCATCCTCCGGGGTCGAGAGCGCAAGGGTCAGTCCCAGCACAGACTTCCAGAGCCAGCAGGGCTTAGTCAAGAGCGGCCCACTCCCCGCTTCTCAAAGGCGTCTTTGTCGTCCTCTGCGGAGATGCGGGAACCCGCCGTGCTCCTGCGCAAGCAGCACCGACCCCCTGCACGCTCCTGGCCTTTACCTGGCAGCTCAAAGAAAGGTGCTCCCTGTCCCTCCGCCACTAAGTGCTGTGCGCCCAACCAGAAATCTTCAGGAGGTCCCGTCTCTTGAGCCGGTGCTACGGGAAAGAGTGAGCAGGCGCCCTGATGAAAGCCCACCTTCTGAGACGGGGGCTTCTCAGAAGGGCCTTTGCGGCCCAGGTCAAGCTACCCCAGGCTGGGGCTGTCGCTCATACCGGGCTCGCACAGGGTCCCTTCCATTTGCCGGGCTTACCTGGAACACGCCCAAGTCAGCTAAAGAACTGGCTCGGGTATGGGGGGACTGAATTTAGCCCCACGGGTGCCGCCTGACTTCCCATCTGCCACCCCGTTCTCTCCCCGCAGAGGAGCAGCAGGGCGGCTACTTCCCTCGCCAGCATTAGCATTAGCTCTCGAGCCAGGCCTGCGTGCTTCGTCCGGCAGCTGTATTTGGCACGCTGCTCCACCTGCCCAGCCGCCCACCTTGGCTTCCCGGCCGGTTCCCCTCCAGCCTGGCTGATTTCCACGGCTGCAGCAGATCAGCGTGGGCTCACCTGCTTCATTCTGGTTCCACAGAGTCTCCACACTTGAATCTGCACCAAGGAAGGCCAGAGGGCCAAAGATACTGGCAGGAGGGTGTGGGGGTCCCAGTGGGGGCTGCTCAGGCACTCCTGCAGCTCCATAAGGTGCTGTAAGAAACAGGCAGGTCTGCACCACCAGGTACCCTTTCCCCACGCTTCCCGGCCCCTTGCAACAGACTGCAGGGACTGGCACGGACTGGGCTCTGGGCTCTCCAGCTCCTTTCCATTTCAAATATGGCCTTTAAAATGACGTGCTGCAATTCCATTATTTTTTAATCTTACCTGTATTTTATATTTCATTTTTATTGTATTTTACGTGCTGTCGTAGTCTGCCCAAAGACTACCCAAAGACTACGTGCCCTGGGCAGGGCAGAAATAAAATAAGTAAGATGTATGTGCTGGACTGCAAGTTTCATCCTTTCCAGCCAGCATGGAAAGAGCTGCAGTCCAACACATCCAGCGGGCACCGGACTGGGAAGAAAGGATTAAATCAGGAGGCTCCCCATGCCTCAAATAAAACGCTGCACCAGTAAATCAGCGTAGCTTCATTTTATTCTGGCTGCAGAGAGCTGGGAGTTTCATCTTACAGGCTGCACAGAAGAGAAAGGGCCGGAGTATCTGGGACGCTGCAGAGGTATAGAGACAAAAGGACAACAGACTGGAAAGGGGGGATTTAATTCTCGGGAAACAGAAAGCTTCGCCCACAAATTAGAATCTTCAGCCAGAAAAGAGCCCATGGCTGCAGAAGCCCAGTCCCACCCCGGATGGAAGGCATGCCGTCTCCAAGACCCACTGAAGACTGGAAAGTCTGTCTCGAAGTGAAGAAGCAGATTATGTCCCTCAGCCCTTTCTGCTGTTAATGAGTGTTTCAAAGCAACGGAGGAGGAAGAGAGATGTTAGCCATGCAGAAGAATTCCTTAGTGGCACTTGAAGAAGGTGGTGTTACGTAACGGGCAAGCACAATGAAAAACGGTACCATGGACTTCTTCCGGAGCTCCACAATACGCACTGAAAGGCGGCACATTCGTCATTTCCTGAGGAAGCAGCAGCAGGTCGGACAGGACATCTTCTCGGTGCATCTTAAAAGGCTCTAAGGGAGAATCGGCAGATATCAAAGGCCTTTCTCCAACACCCAAAGTCGTGGACGATGCTGGGACCGCAAGGCCCAAGGCCTGCCAGCGCAAGATGCTTCCGTGACCCGGCTCTTGCAACCTGCAATGGTTGCGGACAGTATCCCTGGTGGCCAGCAGCAGCCACGAAGGAGAGGTGCAGAACACCAGAACAATGGGGTGGGAGGACACGGAGCTTCAGGAAAGCTGACGGGCCCCCCACAGATGGTTTGCCACAAGGAGCACCCGGTGCTGTGGAAAAGAGGGCTGGGGAGGCCCCTATCCAGCAACGCTAGGAAGAGCTTTAGTCTAAGGCTGCCTTCTTTCGCTATCTGATGCCCTTCCAGGTGTTTTCAGCTGAGATGCAGCCCACCCCATCTGGGGGACACCTGGCTGGGGAAGGGCGATCTACAGACTTTTGACAGTTCAATGTTGGCTCCCTGGCAGTCAAGAAAGGATCCGGGAGTCAGGGTCAGTCTTGCATGCTGCAGGGCCGTTTTTCTGTCCAACCTTCCCTTCCACTGAAGAGGTACAGCACCTTTCGATAAGGGTAAGGCAGGCTTGCAAAGGAGGCAGGGACTCTTCTGTGCAACATTCTGGGAACGGAGGATTCTGGGCTCCTGCTGCGGTTCCTCCCAACTGGTTCCACTTAGGCGAGGACCCACACCAGGGAGTCCAGAAATGCCCACACACTAAGCATTTCCCACTGCCGTTACAATTGACACACCTCAGCAGAAGTAAAGGGGTATTATTTAATGGGTTAAAAGTGCTAGCAAAGGACCTGCTTGTAGATGTTCTTCCAGTGAAAGGTGGGGAAACACAGAAACCCTCCAGCTCTCACCTGCCCCCTTTCTTTTCACTCCCTCGCAGGTCGGTCTTGCCTCAGCTCAGACTTGTACCACTTATGACCCGACAAGCAAAAATGCAGCCAGTTCAAGGGTTTAAACCTCTTGTTTCTGTTGCTTACCAGAGAGCCAGTGTGGGGTGGTGGTGAAGTGGGCTGGGGCTCGGGGGATCCGGGTGCTAGACCCCGCTCGGCCATTAAGGCTACTGTGGTCAGTTCCTGCCTCTCAGCCTAACCTACTTCACAGGGTTGTTGTTGTGAGGACAGAATGAATGAAAAGGAAGAGAACTTTGTAAGCCGTTTGGGGCCCTTTGCTAGAGGAAGAAAGGGGCGGTATAAATGCAAAGCAGGAATAATAAAGAGAGCATGAGGAGGAGGACAGGACCAGCCACACGTTCACAGAGCAAGCTGCTTCAGGCAGCTGACCGGAGGCACCGTCCAACAGCAGCGAGTGTGCAGTTGTGTAAATCAATGTTGCTGGGTGTGCTGCTGCTGCTGCTGCTGCTGCTACTCAGGCAGGTAGGAAAGGAGGAGAGAGATTTTGGGTTTTCTGCTTCAGACCTCAAAATACTTAGGCCCAGGCCTGACAAGGCATCAATTGCAAACTCGTTCAATGACATATTGTCCTGGAGAGGGGAAGCTCATGTGCACAGATCTTGCACTCTGCCCATCAGCAAGACGGGCTCAGAGCAGACCTTATGCTTCATCATGGTTAAGTGTTGCATCACAGTCAACAGTCACAAACTAGGATGGGAAACCATTGTTCGAAGTGGATTGGCAAAATATGGATCAACATCAAACATGCATGGCAAAGGCATCTGAGTGGCGACGGTTTGGTACCTGTGTCTGCAATTAACCAGCAAGCCTCAACGTTCTCTTCCTTTTCAAACCCTTCAGAGGAAGGTTTTGTTGTACCTTTGCAACCTTTAGCAATCGGATTGCAAAAACGAAAGGAAAATGATGTTTGTCTGTGCAGTTCAGGCCCTGATAATGGATCGCTGGGTTCATTCAGCATATAAGAACCCTTGATCCACACAGAAATGTCTCAGGGAAATGCACTTGCTGTCATCCAGCCAAACTGATGAAAGTTGGAAAAAAGAGTACTTTTAATAAAGTTTCCTGAATAAGCAGATACTCCCTCAGACGGAACAAGGAAAAAACTCTGTCCGTAAGAGGGGCAGGTATGGGTGCATGCAGGTGCGTGCAAGGTAATAATGACAACCTGTCACTTCCACGCAGTTTTCAGACCATCTGCACATCCATCTTTTTAGCCTGTGCCAGGAATTCTATTACATCCTTGACTGGACAGAGGCAGCCAAGCAAGGAAGCGGCCCCAGAGACCCCCTTGCAGACAAAATGACTTTTCCAAAACGAGTGTCTCCCTTGTGGCTGAGCAGCCAGAGATGTGCACAGGCCATGCTTCCAAAGGAGGCCAGGACAAAAACGCGCCCGGAGCTCGAATTTCATGATGATAAAGAAAAATCAGGTTATGCAGACAAACAGCTAAATGCTGCCGAACCGGGGAGCAGGGAGAAGGG